ACAGTGACCAACCATAATGTGCTCCAGGTCCATTCTGAAGTGTTTATGTTTGGAATAACAACATGGGCTGGGAGGTGCTTCAAATTCACCCGCCGAGAGCAGAAAAGGAGTGGAGTAGAGACACGGCCCGAGAAGTCCTGGGTTGACAGTGTCTGAAGCCAGATGAGGGTGCACAGGGTGGGGTCATCGAGCTGTTCTTTCTCCTTGGGCACATTTGGGAACTTTTCTTGAGAAAATGTAAAAGCAGTGTGCATGTGGGAAGGGAGAGAATCTATGGGACTAGTTGCTAGGATATGCACAAGCCCTCTCTGGAAGGACAAAGGGAACCCGTGACAATGCTGGCATCTGGAGTGAGGGACTGGGGCAGGGACAGGCAGGGGAAGAGACTCACCACACACTCCTCAATGCCCCAAAGGCAAGCAAAAAGAGGGAGGGGCGGGCTCCCTGCAGGGTCGGGAAGGTTCTCCTTCAGGGCTGGTGTGTGAGGAGCTTCAGGAGAACAGAGAGAGCTGTGGGCCTTGGAGTGGGGTGCAGGGTGCCGCAGGGCACTCTTGAGTGGGGTGCAGGGTGCCGCAGGGCACTCTTGAGTGGGGTGCTGGGTGCCGCAGGGCACTCTTGAGTGGGGTGCAGGGTGCCGCAGGGCACTCTTGAGTGGGGTGCAGGGTGCCGCAGGGCACTCTTGAGTGGGGTGCTGGGTGCCGCAGGGCACTCTTGAGTGGGGTGCAGGGTGCCGCAGGGCACTCTTGAGTGGGGTGCAGGGTGCCGCAGGGCACTCTTGAGTGGGGTGCAGGGTGCCGCAGGGCACTCTTGAGTGGGGTGCAGGGTGCCGCAGGCACCAGGTGGACGGTGCTTCCAGGTGAAAGGACCACGCGTCCTTCCAGCCTCAGCAAACAGGTCAGGAAAGGCTCTCCCAAAGGGATGGGGCCGGTAAACAGCAGAGCTAAGGTGATCGCAGGCTTCTTGGAGGCCTGAGCAGAATGTAGAGGCCGCAGAGAATCCTGTCACCCAAGAAGCCACAGGTACCAGGATGGGGCGTCTCCATGGCAACCCGTGTGGGCCAGTGACAGAGACACTTTGGTGTGAGACAGACTCCAGGTCCATCGCACAACCACGGAGCGCGGTGGGGTGTGAGTTTGGGCATCTCAGTGACAGCTCAAGAAGACGTGAGCCTGAATGAACTCCTTCAGTGATATTTGGGGGCTTCTGAGTCTGTGGCCTCTATACTGTAGCAAGGGACCCAGGAATTAGCCTTGTCAGGTTGATACAAGTAGCCTAGGAGTCCAAATGTCTGGGCCTTCTCTTCCTGAAGTAGGGTTAATGAAAACACAATTCCTAAGATGACTGAGAACTCTGAGATAGTAATATATTTTTATATATGTGTATATCCTATATATAATGCTTATCACACTAAGCATACAATAGGACTCATTAAATATTAGATATTATCGATTCTGTGAGGCCAATATTACAGACCTCATTGTACAGTAAAGGGAGTTCTAGAGAGTTCAGTGAGTTTGATTTTGCTTCCCGGTGCTGGGATTGAACTCAGGGCCTCACACATTCGAGGACAGTGGTCTGCCCAAGGTCAAAGGGAGTTTTTCAAGATCATCCTGCAAATAAAATTGCAGAGTGAGTTTTTGCACTCAGGATCATTGGCCTGCAAACACCGCACTACCCAAGATATGCTTGCTGAGAGCCATAGCCCAGTAGGAATGACGCATGGCATTTTTGGTTGAGAGGTGCCACCAGCAAGCCATTGAGATGATAATGGTTATGATAAGATGTGTATTCAATTGGATATTAGACCCCTGCTGTCTGCCTGGGCCTGCTACTTTGGAGCTCTGGGGTGTGTGGGGGGGGGATTCCCGGAGAGTTCCCATTGGTTGGGGAAGTGCGGGAGGAGGGATTTCCGGTTGGTGTGGTGTGTCCCTGGAGAAGGCCATGTGCGTGGCGTTTGCGGGAGTTTTGGAAATAAAGTTTGTTCCTGCTTGAGTGGCTCGTGATTTTGTGCCCAGCCAGACTGTGGCATATGCTGGTAAATGTTTCCACCTGGCCCTTCCAGAATGGTCTGGACAAATGTTGGTTGATATTTAATTTTATATTAACAAGTAAGGCGAAAGTGAAACAAGGAAGATGTGCCTTGGAACTTTGTTTGTCAACCTGAGTGACTTCTTTGCTGACTTGGATAACAGACTTTGAATCCTACAAGAAGATTGCCTCAATTTGGGGTGTTATTCACCATGAAATGATCACAAGCGTGATACACATTTTGAATGTCCCCAATACATATTTTCTCTCACTTTGGTTTGATTTCTTTATTCCTTTCTTGTACTGGGGATCAACCCAGAGGTGCTCTACCATGGAGCCACGTCTCCAGCCTTTTTTATTTTGAGACACCTCTCACTAAGTTTCTTAGTGTTGAGAGCCACAGCCAAAGGGGCCCCAGCAAACTTCCAGCTGATTGGCTCACAGTGGCCCCAGCAAACTTCCAGCTGCCAGCTGATTGGCTCCTCTGTGGTGATGCTCATTAGGCTGTTTCTCCCCCCTTTCAGACCACGGAGCTGCTCATTGGGGGACTCTTTTGGCTCCGCCCACACGACCCAGCCAATCGGCCTCAAGAGCAGGAGGAGTGGGGGGTTGAGAAGCTTGTGGGAAACTGGTGGTGGCAGTTGGGCTCTGAGGGAATTCCTGAAGAGCTGTGTGGTGTGGTGTGTGTGTGTGTGTGTGTGTGTGTGTGTGTTCTAAAAATAAAGTTCGTTTCTGCTTGACAAGTGGCTCCTGAATTGTGCCCAGCCAGACTCGGCAGCCTAGGGCCTTGCTAAATTGCTGAGGCTGGCCTTGAACTTGCCACCCTTCTGCCTCAGGCTCCTGAGTCACAGGGATTACAGGTGGGTGCTACCAGGCCCAGCTTAAATCCACTCTTTTAAAGTGTTTGATTCAATGGGTTTTTAGTGTATGCACCTACCTAACTTCAGAACATTTTTATCACCCCCAAAAAGAAACTCTGTATCCATCAGCTGTTGCTCCCCATGCCTCGCTCCCCTGGGCACCTGGCAACCACTACTTCACTTTTTATTTTTGCTTTGTTTTGAGATGGGGTCTTGTTATCCCCAGGCAAGTCTTGACCTGGTGAGTTGAGTGGTCCTGCCCTCAGCCTCCCAAGTGTCTGGGACTGCAGTGGGCACTACTCTGCCTGGCACCTACTTTCAGTCTCTGGATTGGCCTATTCTGGACATGTCACATCAATGGAAGCAGACAGGCCTTTGTCTGGCTTCTCTCACTTCAATGTTTCCAAGGCTCTGCCGTGATGTAGCATGCGTCGAGCTTCGTTCCTTTTTATGACCAAAGAATACTCCATTGTGTGGATGTGCTGTGTTTTCATGCACTCACTAGTCGATAAGCACTGGTGTTATTTCCACTCCTTGGCTGTTATGAATAACGCTACAGAATCTCTGAAAATAAAACAATCAGCGAGCTCTCCTGGGCCGGCCTGGGCGGCTCTATCACGCAGCTATGTGCAGTGATTATTTCTGAGCCAAAAGAAACGGAGGCTACATGTTCAAGAAGAAAATGCCCAGAACAATTCTCATGGGGTTTCAGACTCTCCCCAGATTTTGGACTATGATTTGTGAGTGTGTGTGTGTGTGTGTGAGAGAGAGAGAGAGAGAGAGAGAGAGAGAGAGAGAGAGAGAGAGAGAGAAGGAGGGAGATACTGGGGATGAAACCGAAGGGTGCTCTGCCACTGAGCCACACCCCAGCTCTTTTTAATTTTTTAATTTTTTTTTTTTTTTTGAAGCAGAGTCTCGCTAAGTTGCTTAGGGTCTCACTAAGTTGCTGAGGCTGGCCACAAGCTTGCGATCCTCCTGCCCCAGCCTCCGGAGTCGCTCACCATACCTCTTAGCGCAACCTCAGAAGATCGTCAAAGGGGATGGAGAAGTAGGTTTTGCGGAACGCAAAGCAGAACAGCTCCCAGATTCCTCACCTGAAACCCTGTGCAAGAGAAGGAGAACCTTATCACCCGCTGCGTTCCTGTCCTTTTCTTTCCCACTGCGCTCCCTCCAGGGCCTCCTCCTCCCAGCCAGCTCCAACTCCCGGCGCCCACAGTGGTCCAGCCTCCTCCCACTCGCTGGGCTCCGCCGGGGCGGCTGGCGCGGTGCAGATGGAGCCCACTCCTCCGCGGTCGCCCCCAGCCGGCCTTGAGCTCAGGGGAGGGGAGGCGATCCGCGAGGGGGAGGAAAAATCTGGCTGCCCGTGTGCCTCGGGGACGCAGGTGGCCCCAAGGCTGGCTCCCCGTTGGGCACACCACCTGTCCCCGCAACTTCCAAGTCAGGGGCTCCCGTCCCGGTGGCTGGACTCTGGCCTCCAGCTTCGGGTTTATGGGACGCAGCCTGCTTCATCACCCTCTGATCCGGCTGCCCACCGCCCCTCCACCTGCGGGCTTCTCACTCACCCAAGGACCCCGGCCTCTCAAATCCCAGATGACGGCTTGCAGGAGAATGTTACCGGGATTTGAGGCGAGAGGAGGTCGTGGTGGCTCAGGGCAGGGAACATTTTACCCAACAGTGGAAGGGACCCTTAAACTCGCGGCAGTGGCTCATTTCTGTATTAGCTAGAAATGTTTCCGTATCAAAGAAGGAGGGGCTTAAGCTACAAAGGGAAATGATTGATAGACATAATTAGAAAGTCCAAGGCTCTCCAAGGCTTCAGGCTTGGCTGGATCCAGCACCATAATGCTTGGTGCCTTCCCCCGGCTTGTCTTTGCTCTGGCCTCAATCCATCTCTCACTTTCCATACCCCCCCTCTCCGTTTCCCTCCCTTCTCATTCCCACCTCTCTGGTTTCTTGGGGGCTAGCGGCATTCTAAGAGAGCCTCATCCTAATGGGAAAGGACCTTCCCGCCTCGCGCTGGAAGAAGAGCGCTCACTGGCCAGCCTGGAGTCTGATTGGCACAGCAGGGGGCAGGGGAGGAGCCAACTGATTGAGACACCGGCCCCCACCGAGGGGAAGAGGTCGCTGGAGGAGGTGGCGCAGCGCAAAAAACCTCAGTCCATCAACTCACGACGGCTCCTTCTCCCTTCCTGGGTGTCCTCCACCGATTCTGCATCGTCCTCCCCGTCTGACCTCCACACTCCAGCCTCCAGCTCGCAACGCCCCCAGCTCGGGTGGCTCGTTATGCGTAGCGATGTAGCTGTTCCTGCGGCCAACCTTGGCTGTGCCCAGGGCCGTCACCTTCCCGACTAGAAGAACTCAGGAAGTGGGTCACATCTCCATAGACGACAAGGGCAGAGGCCTTGTGTCCTCCGATCCCCACGGAGGCGGGACCCAGGGGCCCTCAGCTTGCAGCGTGGGACAGCTGGTTCGTCTAGACCCGGGTTTCTCCACCCCGCTGCGGTGGACATTCTGGTCCAGGTAATTCTCAGGGGCTGGGCCCACCTGTGCCGGTAGGATGCCTCTCCAGCCTCTGCCAGCTGGGACTAGGAGCATCCTGCCACCCTCCCACTCGTTGTGACACACAAGAATGTCACCCAGCACACCCAAGTGCCCTCGGGGAGATCACCCCTCCCTGTTGCCCACCCTTATTGGAGAGCCCCGCTGCTGGGAGGGAACTAGCATCAGAGCCGTGGGCAAAGGGCCCTGTGAATCCCAAACCACGGGGCCCTCTTAAAATAAGGCTCCCAAGGCCTAGTGTTAGCTTGAGAAACCTGCGTGAAATAAATTTTTATCTATCCCTGGTGCTTTTGAGGTTTCTTTGTTGTTTGTGTATTTGAAAATAAAAGAGATGTTCATTTGAAAAATTAAAGCATAACACAGCTAGGGGTGGTGGGTGGTGCTTGCCTGTAACCCCATCTGTGGCTTGGGAGCCTGAGGCAGGAGGACTGATTCAAGTTCAAGGCCAGCATCAGCAACTTAGCGAGTCCCTGTCTCAAATAAAAAATAAAATTTATATGATTTTTAAAAATTTAAAATGTAGTGTAACACAAAAATGGGCTGGACTTGGTTCAGTGAGTGGTAGGTGGCTTGCCTAGCACGTGTTGGGTTCAATCTCCAGCAACTGGGGAAAAGAAAAGGTGTAAGGAAAATGACAAGTGTTCTTGAGGTCAGGCACAGCAAGCAGATCTTCCTTTCCTTTCCCAGCTGACTGCTGCTGGCACTCTCATGGGAGTATGCGTTTGACTTTCACCTTGTATCAAATTAGTGGCTTGTAAAAATGCAAGCCACCATCCCCCCAACAATCGCCTTTTGTTGTGCTGACGCCTTTGCAGGAACTTGAAGCCACTGCTGCTGGGCTCAAAGACAAATGTGATTTCCTGGGACCTGAGATTCAGGGGGTGACAGCACACCCCCTACACCCTTCCTCCCAGGCTTCCCCTCTGTGCTTCCTCCTTTGATCTGATGGCAAAGAACCTACCCTCTCCTTCCCTCTGCATCCCAGATTCCTGGGATTCCAAAATAAACTCAAGGACTCTCCCATGCATGAGTAGCCTCCTCCTTGGCTCCTAGAGCGTTGTCCCATCTTACCTTTAAGTGAAGTGACTTTTTTTTTTTTTACCAGTTTTGGGCTTGCTTTGAGTCACTGTATTTTAGAAAGGCATCTCTGTTGATCCTTCTGGGGAACTGAATACTCTATTATGTGAATTGTTGAATTTAGGCTCAACCACATGGTACTGAGTCTCCATGGACCCCAGATAGCTGGGTAAGAGCAGTTTCATATGCTAGGACCTAGTATTTATGAGACCCTGGAAAACCACAGGACACGGGCAGCTCCCCGCCTCTGAATGCAAGCCATCAGGAGTGTCATTAGGGTAGAAGGGGTCCCCATGGTCCCTGGAAGGGGCCTGGAGGACATTAGAAGGCTTCTCAGGGCTGGGGGTGTGCCTTAATGGTAGTTTGGGTACTTACCATGCAGGGGGCACTGGATTCAATCCCCAGTACCGAAAAAAGAAGAAAGAAAGAGTGGGGGGGAGGGAGGGAGGGAAAGAGAGAGAAAGAAAGAGAGAGGAAGGAAGGAAGGAAGGAAGGAAGGAAGGAAGGAAAGAAAAGAAAAAGCTTTTGCGGTGGGTTTGATATATATTGTCCCGGGTGATAAACGAGCCACTTTCAAAGCAAGTGCTATCCTTGATCAGTAGTTCTCCACTGCCAATGTCCCCCAGAGAGATTGTTAAAATGCGAGCACCTGGCCACACTTCTAGAAATCTGGATCCAGGAAATCTGGGTACAACGCAAAGATCAGCATTTTCTAACTTCCTCCTCCCCTGTGGGCTCTGGTGCAGGCAGTCAGGTACCTACCTGGAGAAACTGCTAGAATAGCTCTTAGAACTATTAATAGGTGACACGATTTGACACCATTGAGGTGGCAGCCACTTTAAGAGCTTTGTGTACTGACTCACTTAATCCTCAGCACAGTCCTGTGAGGTAGACGCTATTTTCATTCCTCACTTCTCAAATGGGTAAACCAGCCGGGCACGCTGATGTACATCTGCAGCCCCAGCTACCCTGGAGGCTAAGGTAGGAGGGTCACTGGAGCCCTTGAGTTCTCACCAACCTGAGCAGTGTAGTGAGATGCCATCCTAAGGAACAAAGAAAGGAAAAACACTGTGGTGTAACCAGGCAATTGCCTCAGTCACCCACCCCAACTTGACCCTTCAAATATCTTGAAGTCATTTTAAGAAATTATGTTTTCCTCAAATATTCAAGAGCATCGGGTCCATGCTTGTAATAGAAAATTTCTGATTACAAAGTAGGACTTCCTCAAAGTCACAAATTCAAGTGATTAGGACATCCGAAGTTTGCCTCCAGTTTTTGAGTCCCGTACCCTCTGCTGACATTTTGGTGTGTACCCTTGCAGACGCTTCTCAGCGCAGGCGCAAATGCGAAGCAAGCTATGTCAAAGTGAGTTGTGTCGTTTATGCCAACTCTCCTGAGAGAAGAGAGAGGATGGACCATTGAGGAGCACAGAGAATTTCGCCTGCCTTTTCACTCGATGCCTGTGAGTCAGGGTGAGCTGGGCGAGTTTTCCCTTCTCTGAGCGTGAGTCAAGAGTCTAAAGATGGGACTGGGGACAGAGCTCAGAAGCAGAGCTCCTGCCTAGCTTCATGAGGCTGATTTTGACCCCCATCCCCAGCACCAAATCGAAACAAACAACAAACGCCTTGGAGGGTGAGGATGTGGCACAGTGACCGAGCAAGCGCCTGCCTCCCTGTAAGATTTAATGGGTTTAATCCCCAGCACTGAGAAACAAGAAGAAAAATCACATCTGAAGACCCGCACTTCTTTCCATGAACCATCAAAGGCACATCAGCCATGCCACCCGGTGTTTGCATGTGAATAAAGGTTTTCAAAGGTGATTTTGTCCATTTCGTGTTTTGACTCCCATAGGTACTGTGCAAAAACACTGAGCCTTCTGTTATTTCAGTTTAGGGCCTCAAACCAAATATTCCACCTCGGTCAGGAAGAATTCCGAGTAGCAAAAACCTGGTGCGTCCTAGACATGCAGAATCCACGGCAGGTGTGGCAGCTGTGCCTGTGTTCCCAGCAACTCAGGAGGCCGAGCTCGGCTGGAGGGCCACTTGAGCCTGTGAGTTGAAGACCAGCCTGGGAAGCCTCGTGAGGAAAGAAAGAGAGGCAGAGTCCTGGGCCCTGCCCCAAACCTCCTGAGTAACACAGTTCCTGGTGAGGTGGATGATGCTGGAGTTGGAAGAACCTTCACGTTTCCATGTCAGGGGCAGGGTTGAGGCAGGGGCTGGGCCAGAGCAGGCAGCCTGGAGGACATGGCAGAGCCAGCCAGGAGCCGCAGAGACTGGCTGGCCTCTTACCCTTGGGCTGGACTGCATTTCCCGGCTGCCTTTATGGCCACTGTGGCCTGGGGACTGCGGTTGGGCTGGTGGATTACGAAGGGAAGCCATGAACAGTACTCATAAAACCGAGCCCCGGAAGCCTTCCAATGTTGGGGCCCCATGCTGTCTTCCTGCTTTCCAGGGGTGTGGGCATACCTGAGCCTGGCCCCGAGTAGTGCTGCAGGAGCTGCCTGTACCCCAGGAGCACCCTATAGACAATGAGCAAGAAGGAACGTTCTATGGTATTGTGCCCCTTAGGTGGAGGGTTGGGGCCGCAGCAGTGGAAGGCAGGGGGCTTCTGTTTTTACTGTTGGATGGTGGCCAGAGGTACCCAAGGGCTACATCAGGAGAGTGGCAGGGCCCATCCTAGAAACAAGGGTTTTCATAGATGCCTAAGCTTGCAGGGGCTTGGAGCCTGGGAATCCTCCTAGCACCTGATAAAAACGATAGACCCACCAGGTGCAGTGGTGCACACCTGAATCCCAGCAACTTGGGAGGCTGAGGCAGGAGGATCACAAGTTCAAACCCAACCTCAGCAACTTAGCAAGACCCTGTCTAAAAAAACGGGGGTGGGGGGCGGGGCTGGAGATGTGGCTCAGTGGCTAAGTGCCCCTGGGTTCAATCCCCAGGACCAGGGGAAAAAAATTGGACCCTCTTCCTCCTAAAATGCACAAACTCAATTTTACAGAACATTCTCTGACTCTCTGAAGTGCATGCCTAGACTCAGCTGGTCCATCACATGAAGGGAAAGTCATGGAAAGATTTCCTAATAGCTGACGATTATTTTTTTTTAACTCGTGAAACTATTTAGAAACTATTTTCAATTCTCTCTCTCTCTCTCTCTCTCTCTCTCTCTCTATATATATATATATATATATATATATATATATATATATATATATATATATATATATAATGAGAAAATATTCCTTTTAGAGCTGCAGGTCAGGTGCAGTAGTCCACACCTGTACATCTCAGCCACTCAGGAAGCTGAGGCAGGAGGAAGAGAGCCCCTCAGCAACTTACTGAAACCCTCGCTCAAAATTAAAAGTTAAAAAGGGGGGGGGGCTGGGGATATGGCTCAGGGACTAAGTGCCTGGGGGGTTCAATCCCCAGGACCAGAAAACAGACAGACAGACAAAAACCTGATGTGGCATCTCTGTTTAAGAAGGTCGCAGACACCCGAGTGGTCTATTAAGTATTTTGTTATTGTTGTCGTGGGGGGTTTCTGTGGCCTTTTGCTGTTGTTTTGTGTGAGTCGGGGTCTCCCTGTGTTGCTGCCAGGCAGGACTTGAACTCCTGGGCTCAAGCGGTCCTCCCACCCCAGCCTCGGGAGCAGCCGGGACTCCAGGCGCTTAGACACCCGTGTTTGCTCAGCACAGTCGTGCTTCAGAAGGACGTGACGGGGGGCAGTCTCCCTCCTGAGCTCTGGAGGTTCACCTGGGAGGTGCCAGGGTCTGACAGTGCCATGCCCCCCCCCCCCGAAGGGCTCCCCAGCTGCTCTTCCCCCCGTGGCCACTAGAGGGTGCAAGGACCCAGAGTAGGGGCGGAATCGGGGCCTCCTGGCAGCGGGGGGGGGGGGGGGGGGGGTCAGGATTCTGCCCTGTGGCAGGTGTTGGAGCACCCGAAGGCCCGCCCTGCCTGGCTTGGGGACACAGGACTGCAGGTAGATGCCCCACCTCTGCGCAGCCGTTGGCATCTCAGCCCGCCAGCCGGCTGGGGCGCATGCACAGGGTGGCAGGCAGTCCCAGGTGGCCCAGAGGAACACTCTGGGCCTGAACCCCCTGGGATAGCTGGGGACCTTCCCGGTCCCTCTCCAGCAGCCTGGCTGTGTCAGGTATGTTACAGGCTAGAATGACACTGTAATGACACTGTAAAGGTTTTCATTTTCTGGGTAAGAAATCCTGCTTCCCCGTGAACCTCAAACACGGGAGAAGGCAACCGGAAAGGACCCAGCTGTGAGCCACCTGGGGTGCTCAGTGGTGGCCAGGCCACTGTGGGACCAACAGAGGCCCACAAGAAGGACTCGAGGCCCTGGGAGTGCAAAGGGCCTGGGCTGAGTCCGATGGACCTGGCTTTGAACCCAGCTCCCTGACCACCTGCGGTTCTAGCTACTGCCCCTCTCAGGGCCTCGGTTTCTTCGTCTTGAAAACGGCAGGGTGATATTTGGGTCCAAGCCAGATTTGAATGGCCTGGTGGTTCCCCAGCTGCCACCCCAGAGGGCCCTCAACTCATGGTAGCTACAATTAGACCGAGGTTTGGTTGACATGGCTGCAGGACAAATTCACTCCTACGTGCTGTGGTTTGCAGTAATTATGTTCTCCCTCTGGTTCTGCAGGCGGACTCAGCTCACCTGGCCTGTTCTCTTGCTGATCTTGCTTGGGGTTTCTCATGCTGTTGCAGTCTGATGGGCTGGAGTCATCTGGAAGTTTCACGGGAGGCTGGGAAGGCCCAGTCTCTCTCCCTAACCAACCAGCCTCAGGGTCTTGTCTGTCCATATGACCCCTTTAGAACAAGTGCCAAGCTGTGTACACTGCACCTGGGGACTCCCTAAAGTGCACGTGGATCGGCCCGGTCCTCTTAATTCTTGCACCTAGATGTGATGATGTCACCATCATGTCGGTCACTGTCCATTGTTAAGTCCCAGATGGCCAGACTCCATGTGGGTGGAGACTCCAGTGAGCAGATGCCAGAGATGTGGCCGACAGGGGACCCAGGTTAGGGAACAGACACCAGAGATGGTGTGGCCGTGTCCTAAGACGGTTGTGACAAAGCACCGCAAACAGTGGCTTAAAACAACGCACACGGTTTTCCTACCGTTCTGAGCTCAGAAGTCCAGGCGGCTCTGGCCGGGGCGGAATCAGGTGCAGCAGGGCTGTGGCTCTGCCCAGTGTCCCCCGCGGCATGCCCTCCTGAGGCTCTTCCTTCCTCCCTCTCCTTGTCTTTGGTCCTCCCGTCTCCTCTCAGAAGGACGCTGGGGACTACACGGAGCCCCTTGGATAATCCAGCACCGTCTCCCCACCTCGGGTCAGCTGAGTACCTATCTGACATCCGTCTGCAACCTTTGCCGTCCCACTTGCCATGTCACAGAGTGTATCCGTAGGCTCTAGATTCAGACAGGGACACCTATGGGAGCCCACGTTCTGTCCACCTACCACAGGTCGGAGAAAAGGCATTGCACCGACTTTACTACATTTCTTCTCATTTGTAGAGATTAGATTTACTGGGAATCAATGCTTCAGGAAGATTGTTCCTCAAACTCTTAAGCAAACACTGCCTTTGATTTTGTTCATCCTATAAGCATTGAACCGTAAGCCAGGGGCTAGAGAGTACAAACACACAAATGCACAAGCTAGGCACAGTGGGCGCCCCCAGCATCGCAACGCAGCGGCTCAGGAGGCTGAGGCAGGGGGATCACAAGTTCCACCTGCGCAACTTAGAAAGCCCCCATTTTAAAATTTACAGAAACGAAAGACCAGCACGGTGGCCCACGCCTGTCATCCCAGCAGCTCCGGAGGCTGAGGCAGGAGGAACGTGAGTTCAAAGCCAGCCTCAGCAAAAGCAAGTCACTAAGCAACTCAGTGAGACCCTGTCTTTGAATAAAATACAAAACAGGATTGGGGATGGGGCTCGGTGGTTGAGTGTCCCTGAGTTCAATCCCAGCACCAAAAAAGAAAAACAGGTAGAAGAGCCACACTCAGGAAGACTGTGCAGCCCTCTACAGATCTGAACTTGGAGCTGGGCAAGGTGGCGCACAGCTGAGGCAGGAGGATTGCAAGTTCAAGGCTTAAAGTAAAAGTCAAAGGGCTGGGGATGGAGCTCCGAGGTAGAGCACGCACTTAGTAAGCATGGCCCTGGGTTCCATCCCCAGCACTGCACGAACCGAAACAAAACCCTGACTGTTTCATCAGATGTCTATGAAATATTTACTTAGTTCCTTTCCTTTTCCTACTAATTTGGTGGGGGGGACTGGGATGGAACCCAGGGGTGTTAACCACCGAGCCAGCCACATCCTCAGCCCTTCTTATTTCTTGAGATAGTGACTTCCTAGATTGCTTAGTGCCTGGTAAGTTGCTGAGGCTGGCTTTGAACTTGTGATCCTCCTGTTTCATATTGCACAGTCACTGAGATCACAGGTGTGTGCCCCCATGCCAGCTAACCCCGGGTTTAAATATGTGTACAAACATGTCATTTTTACCTGGCCAGCACCCCATGTGTCCCTTCTGGTCACACACCCCCCAGATTCAGTCCCCCGTTCTTCGCTCACGTGGGTTTTGTGTGGCTGATCCCATCCCAGAGTCCTGGGAGGGCACAGACCCAGGTCTCCCATCGGGGAATCCCGTCCTTCTGGCCAGAGCAGGTTCAGGGGAGAGGGCATGGTCCGACCAGGAGCACCAGCCCTGGGACTTCCTTGGGCAGTTGGGAAAGCCATGATGTGCATCACTCTGTGGAGGTGACCTTGCAGCTGCTGGCAGTCATCTTGCCACCCAGACGTGGACTGAAAGGGACAG